ATTTCCTTTGCATCCTTCATCCGTATATTTCTGTCATTTTAATTGTCTTAGTTGTCATTCTTTATGCTTCATATGTCAAAGAGAAGCCAACTTAATGCACTAAATGTGTAACCTCAAAATTACTGATCTTTAAAAAGTTTACTTGTTATTTGTCTATTTGAAGAGTACATGAAACGATATCAAAGAAACAGGAGAAATAAGTTGTTTCTTTTTATTTAATATTAGCAAGTAACTTGAATCAACTTACTGCATTTAGCAGTCCTTTTATTTATTTCATTTTTACAAATTACAGCAGTCTCTGCTTCCATTCCTGTTGTTATACGACTTCAGATTTTAGTGGACTAAATAGGATAATATCATGTGGACCATAACATCCTGTTTAATTATCTTATTTCTAAATGTGCCAGGGCAGAACTGGGGCCGAGCTAATAATTTCAGATATGATTGCTGTTTTATATGTCTGGATGCGTCTGTTCCAGCATTGGATCAATATGTAGATCGAAGAGTTGATTGCATGATAGATGCTAGTCTACTTGAAGAAGTTTTTGATATTTACAAGTTAAATGCTGATTATACACGAGGTTTACGACAAGCAATTGGTGTCCGGGAATTTGAAGATTTTCTAAGATATTGCACTTCTGAATGTCAAAATCCTAGCGAAGCTGTCTGCTCTCAAATTTCAAATGCTAAGCAATTCAAGGAAATCATGCGGCAAATCATGGACTCCCCCAATGAGAACCAACAAAAGATTCTATTAACAAAAGCTATTGATCAAGTGAAATTAAACACGAGAAGACTCGTTCGTCGTCAAGTAAGAAGACTATCATTATTTCGTTCCTTTGACATTTAAGGTGTATTTCCTTTTACCTATAACTTGAATTAACAAACAAGGATGACTGAATGGTCGGACAGGAAATAGACACTCCTTCCTTTCCATAAAGGACGTGAAATTTGACTTGCATTTGGTCAGAGCAAAATATTCTAGGGAAATCTACAAATTACATCCTCTGTTTAAGGTGTATTTTCATTTTACATACCGTATTTTTTTAAATTTACACTTTAAATACTATATAATTCTGAATGGTAACAAAAAACTACTTTTTTCCAAAACCATTACAAATTATCCATTAAGAATAGTTAAATAGACCAAAATATTCATAAATGATAATAACAAATCACACCCTTTGTATTATAATATGTAACCATTTACATACCAATTTTTTAACTATTTTTTTAATTCTCCAAAACTTCAATTACTATTTCATCTTCATCTAAAAAATTAACTTTTTTTCTTTCTCATTCATATACGCCTCCTTAAATTAATATTCAACCAAGAAATAGATTCTTTTGAATCAGTTGAGCAAAATATATTAACTAAAAATATATATATAGGCGTGATTTGTTGTTTCAGTTGAGGATATTTTTGTCTCTTTAGCTATTTGTAATGGCATATTTGTAAATGTTCAGCAAAGGGTGTTTTTGGTAACCATTATGCAAATATAGCATGTAAAATATAAATTTGTGAAATACGGTATGTGAAGTTTAATTGTACTGTGTCTATTTTTTCGTAATTTCCTTTATTCTATTCTTCTTTTGATTGCTTTTATGGAAAAACAAATGTTATAGAAGAGTGGAAGTAATAGGATATGGATACTATATTATTGTGGAATATAAAGAATGTTATGGTAAGCACTTTGACCAAATGCTATTTGACTTTAGAAAGACAAATAAGACATATTTGTGGGACAGAAAAACTATATCCCATTGTGACATTGGTAACTGGTGCTATGGTTTCAACTTGGACAGTTTTTATTTGCTAACCTGGCTAACTTTCTCGGAGACATTGTCAGTGGTATCACAATATCCACTTCTACAAGCTTTTTACATGTTTTAAATTTCACCTCTTGGTACTGGTGCTAGTTTCCCAAAGCATGATGTTGCAGCAACATTTTCTACGTATACAAGGTGACTAAGCATGCAAAAATCATGTGAAACTCTCTTAGTCCATTTCCAATTTTTATCTAAGTGGTTATTGTTGAATATCAGGCTTGTCAATTTTCATACATGTTTGGTGTGGATACTACTTGGTTTTTCTTCCATAGTGTTCATCAACTAAAATTTTACTCCTCCTTTTAATTCCTCGTAGGCTTATTTTGTAGAACTTCTTTTGTGCTTTCCTTCGAGATGTTTGCAAAAAGGCTATCAAAGTCTGCGCTATCCATTATCAGTCATGGTAACCTATTATAAAAATAAATTAATAATGACTTCAGCACCAATCTTCTTGCATTGTTGTCACCATGTAACTACAAGAGCTTCATCAATGTGCTTTTAATTGTGAGGATATGTAGTAACTTTTCATGCACAAATTTATAGAGAAATCAGGATTATTCTTGTAATATTCAATTTATTTTGTAAGAGAAGTAAGAAATTATGTTCTAACATGTCACATTCAATGTTTTTTTTCCTAATTTTTTGTCTTTCACAGAAGAGAAGGCTTAGCAGACTGCAAATGCTGTTTGGATGGAATATTCATTATGTTGACGTCACTGGGTGCTTATTAAGTCGGTTTTTTAGATTTTTTTTTATAGATAAATTGTTTGTGTTTTATGAAGTAATTTGACTTCTAGTGATTAAATTTAATTGCGGTGACATGCTGTTTGCAGGTGCTTCAGAGGATTTGTGGGTTGTAGATGTGGTCGAACCGTCGCTTGAAATTATCAAATCTTTCCTTGATAAGAACAATATGGAAGAGGCCAGGAGTGATTGCGAAGTGATGCAATCGGCAAACAGGGACCTTTGGACTCAATATATTTGTCAGGTAAGTGTTGCCTCTAGTACTCTCTCCGTACCCACCCCCCTTGTGTTTCTCTCTTTGCGTTGTGACCACGAAGTTGTGAACTGTAGGCATGTGGGAATAAAGTGCTTAGAGGGGGACATGAATGGGAACAACATCAACAGGGACGTAGCCATCGAAAACGAGTATCTCGGCTAAAAAAGTCAGGCATCTATGTTGAATTTCCCCACAACAGTTCTATGCAGTAATTCCGAAATCACATTATTTTGTACTCCTGATCCTGTATATTGTATTTAAACAAGAATTTGGTGAACAATGATATTTCTGAGGTTTATTCCAGATTCCTAGGAATGATAATTGACTTCTAACACGTTTATTGTTTAATATTATGTCATAGAGTCGTATTGAAACTGAACTAATAATCTAGTTTAGATTGAATGAAATTTTGCTCCTATTATTTTTTTTGAAAAAACCCGGAATCAACTTATAAAATAATGCGATCGATATCACCCTTATATTGTTAAGGATAGAATCTGTTTCTCATTATATGTATTTAACTTTGGATGAATTTTCCTTTGATTGCTTTTTTTCCATTAGTGTATGTGGTACTAAGTTGGATGTATTATATCAGTATTTGCTAGTAGTTGAATTGTACCTTGCGATAGGGGGCTCGGCCTGCCCCACGTGCTCGCCCATTGTTAGGACAAGTCGGGCCGACTCCAGTAATTTTTTTTTTGACTGAAAATTTATAGTTCACTCATATTGACGAGATGTTGGTGAATTGGCTCACACACGAGTTGATGAGCTCGCTCGAGAAAATTGTTGTTTAGATTGCGTCAGTCTTGCTTTACTTTACGAACTGCCCTTGGTGTACCGGGTCAGGGTGACAAACACCCTGACCGGCCCCTCACATCAAGGGGGCCTCACATTTTTTTTTTCAATTTTTTATACATGTGGGGGCCAGCATCATGTGAGAGTGTGTCAACTTTTTTGTCAATTTTTTTTTGTTCAAGTAGCTTTTTTGTTACTTTACCCCTAGGTGTCTAGTCAGTTGTTGTACGCATTTTGGGGAGAACCAGCTAGCTTTTTTATATAACAGATTGTATGGTAGAACACCCCTACCTTGTAATTGTTGGAAATGGAAGCACATGGGATGGCAATCAAAAGTCGACCAATATGCATAGGATTCCATTCATCATACAAATTAAAGAATGGGGCAAGAAATCCCATTTCAGAAAAAAGGCGCCTTACCTAGTTACCTTGACAAATTTCAAGATGAATTTTGATGGTTGTCAAGACCGTTAAAGGTAAATATATTATTCTAATTTAATAATTTTACGGTATGAACAAAGAAATTTTGAACGAAAAATAATAACTCAATGATAAGAAAAATCAACGCCAAAAGCTCACTAAATCCATTATAATGAAGGGATTGTCACATTTTTTGATAGAGTAATGTTATTCGTGGTCGTTTATTATGACAGTCGCCCTACGTGGTATTGCATCAAATAATCACATATCATTTGTACGTCAGTTAGGACGACTGTAATAGTGAGCGACTGCGAATAGCATTATTCTTTTTAATAGTTCTAAGTTGCTTGTTTCAAATTTTCAATCAAGCACGAGAAGTTACGTAGTAAGATTGGCTGTGAACTCACAATAGCAGTAGGGCATATGGACCTTATTCTAGTGTTGATCTTATTATCTCTGGATAAGTTTTTTTAACTTTTAATTTGAAAAGTGAATGTCGTCGTAATATTACGCGCTTCGTAGACTAATGTGTCCTGTGTGGATTGGATAGCGCTCGAACGTTGGAAAAAATCTGATACTGATATAATTTTTTCTTCAATCTTAGCGGTCCCAGTTTAGCAACTTTGTCTGCCACTTATAACATCTCCCGTAGAGCTAATTATTTTGTTACAACTTAGTCAATTTTTCTCATTGAAATTATTTCTAAACAACCAATAAAGGGAATAATTTTTAAATACTAGAAAAACTACTTATGTGAGGACTTGAAAAGTCTTCAAAATACAGGAAATATTTCATAAACAAAAGTATTTTTCAGTATCCTAAAAGAATCCACTATGAGAAAAAGTAATAATCTTTGGAAGCTTTTACAGCTTTTCGACTCCTTAAAAACACCCCGAACCCCCTCCCAGAAGGTTCTTCACAGTAAAATGATCGACAGAGAAAGAAAATAAACAAAATGCACAGCTTGAAGAAAATCTGTCTCCTTCAGTTTCTTCTCCTCTTTCTGAACATTCTCTTTCCAAAATCAATATCTCAAGAAACCACAGAGAGGTATATTGATAGTATAAGGAACATACACTCATGCTCAGAACAAAATTCCTCAATTTGTTATGATAATATTCCATTTCATGTGCCGAATCCTTGCGACGAGTGTAAGAAGCCTGATGGACATTGTGGAGCTGGGTTAAGATGCATTTGCCATCCAAAAGAGTGCAGTAAGTTTTTTTCCAAATACATGTTCTCTTTGTGTTTTAGTTTTTAGTTTTGAATTCATTTTGGGTTTTATATTTTGAATCTTCATTTTGAGATTGTTGAAAATGTGTTCTTTTTGTCATTTTAAAAAAAGAAGTTTTGATTTTGTTTTAACTAAAAATAGCCAAAACTAGTGTTTTCCACTTTCTTTGTAAATTTCTATCTCGTTTTTGAAAATTCATTTCTGAAAATAGATAAGTATATGCGTTTTCGATTCGAAAACTGAAAACAGCTGAGAGAACAAGTCCTCACTTTCTCAATATTGAGTTCTCAACTCTCTTGTTTTTGTACTGAAAGTTGTTTCCTTTTCATATGATGCATTTTCAGAGGTTAAGGTGATTTCAGTTGGTGCAGTTCTGAAGCCCTGCTGTCACATAGTTTTTTCTCCACTTATTTTCCTCATTTTGAAGGACTATATGCTGGCCTTTTGAGGTAGTTTTAGTTTCTTCTTTCTGAAACTTCAAATATTGTTGTGAATATAATGAAATGATGGTATAATTTGCTTTGTGAACCCAAATGACACTAGAAGTCTAGAATCAGTCGAACAACTTAGTCTAAATGCTTAGCTGCTTAGAGACGGGACAAATTTATTTATTTAGATTGTGTACTGTGATTATTTTTTCACTAAGGTTCGTTATGTACATAATTTTCATGCTGAGACCTAAACCTCACCTCCAATGTCCGGACAAATGCGATAGTGGTGAACATCCTTATCTACGTTTAATGGAACGTAATACTGATTTGGTGAACATCCTTGTCTACGTTTAATGGAATGTAATACTGATTTGGTGAAACATCTTTGAATCATGTTATTGTACAATCTTTGTTGACAACATTCTAATTGGTAACATCACATTCATCTAGTACAACTAGCTTTATTGAACATCCTTTCCTTTATTTGTTGGGATTTGCGCGCACAAGTTGCGGCAAATGTATGGTCCATGAGTGCAAATGATCTCTCATCTTTCATTCTTGACAGTGACACCCTCAATTTATTGGATAGTTGAGCAAATGGTCGTTTTTCACAGTTTCTGTCCATTGATGATGTTAATTTTGCATGTATATCTCATGTGAAATAAATGACGAGGATAAAGAATTAGCTCACTCTTGATCTAGTTCTAGTCTCGTTGTTCACCATCGCAGATTTATTGTTTAAAATTATCGTCGCAAATATAATAAATTGTTTAAAATTAAGACTATCGTTGCATTAATACAATGATAATGGCTTGGGACCAGTAATGCAATTTTGCTTTATTAACTTTTCAAGAAGTTTTGAATATATTACATATTTTAAAAGTATTGTTTTATAGTAACTTATTTATTCTAGATCAACGGAAAATTATTGTATTTTTTAAAATATACTTATATCATTTAATGACTTTTTTTGTTACCTATGAATTTTTTAGTTGATTTTCTTAGATTTCAACCCCATCATACATAAATTTCTGAATTTACCACTGCCTAAGCATGCAAGGAGTGTTAGCCTGCCTACAAGGAAAACTTCACAAACAAACCTATGTAGTTGAAATGAAATGATCAAAGCCTAGGGAGCATTCAAATATCATGGTCTCCTTAGAAGGAAATAAACAAATAACACGACGAAGCTCCACGTGACAAAAACGAGGAGAGCATGTGAAAAAAGTGATTTATGGAATCGTGTAAAAGTAACAAGGCCTACAAGCAACCATCACGATGAAGAAACCATCTAGAATTATAACTTATTATGGATATGATTGTAAATGGATCGGATTTTCCCATATTTGATTCTATCCGATAAGAATAATTCATGAATCTGATCCAATCCGATAATTCTATAGATATTTGATTGTTAAATCCATGTCCAATTTGATATATTATAGAATATCTCATCTGGTCATTCCATTTGAAATATTTTAGAAAGAATGGATTCTCAATCTCAATACAAAATTTATCATAACATATATTAATATTATATTGGAATTTGATACGCTTGACATTCTTCATTAAAAGTCGGTATAATACAAGTTTCAAAATGAAAAAAATATTAAAAAATTGTGTAATAAATTATGCAGTAATATATAAAATATATTATGTTATTATAACAAATCGGGTGAGTAGTTATCGGATCGAATTGACATATACCCATATTTGCTTCATTTAATTAAAGGATTATTGAATTCAAATCTTTATCAGGTTATTGAACTAAGTCCTTTAATACGTCTTCCATTTATTTCATTGGATTCGGATCAAAATTCAATACATTGACAGCCCTAATTATTGATCATCAAATGACGGGACAACGTGTCCAAGAAAAGTATAAAAAAACCTCAAGAATCCCTTAACTTTGATAAATAAAGCGATCGATATTGAAAACCCTAACCAAATTCTTGTTCTTCAGCAACTAAGTCCATCATCACCCTGAAGTTCCTCCTCTAGAGCTCTAGCGACCGAAAGAAGTCCAAGGAAGGTAATTAAACAAAGGGAAATTATACTCTAACAGGCAGTGTTCTAAATAGCGGGAAATAGCGCCGCTATAGCGCGCTAAAGTGCGTAGCGCGGCGAAAACGCTCCGCTTCGGGGTATTCGCGTAAAAAAGCGGTCAACCTTTTTTGTTGACCGCTATAGCGCACTTAAGCATCGTGTAAGCGCGCCTTATCCCGCTATAGGGCACTTAAGCGCACCTCATCTCCTCCTTTAAAAAAAAATCTATTTTTTATATAAAAATATATTTAATGTCTTAAAAATAATTAAAATAATATTAAAAATATGAAACGCATTATAACGCCTATTCTTCGCATTGACACGCTTAAACTTGTGATTCTTAATTCTCGGCCTCGACACTACGCTACGTCTTACGCTATTTAGAACATTGCTAACAGGGCCACGTAGACAGGCCCCCCACCTATAGGGGGGCCACTTGGCGTCCATGTTTGAACAGGTCCTATGTGGCCCTGCTCAAATAGCAGGGCTCTAAAACAAGGTGGCAAGAAATTTGTCGGCTTCGAGTTTTCGAGGTCAACTGACATGACTAGGAAAAATCAGATATTTTCTTGTCTTGGATATGAAAATAAGAAAGTTGAGGTTTGAGGACTGAATCTTCAAATACATTCAAAAATATTCTAAAGGAATGCAAAAGGAAAAGTTTGAGATCAGTAGATATACCTCTATCAATCAACGCAAAGCTAAACCAGTGGTACCAAATGGGTACTTAACAAAAATAAAATTTAATAAATTAGCTCTCTAATAAAAAAGTAATAGAAGACCTAAATTTTTTTGATAACAAACTGTTTAATTTATAATGTTGTAGATTAACTCTTGTTATAACACCCTGAGATTTCTAATTTCGACATAAGGAACTAATTGAAAAGATTTAAAGTTAGGGCCAAAATGAAAGCTTTGTAATTCTTCAGGAGCTTGAGTGCAAATATTTGAAAATAACATTTTAGTTGGAGATTTTTGTGGCTAAAAATAGTTGTTGTTGTTATTATTATACTCAAAATCAAATATTTGGGGCTAACATGGGAGAATTTAGCATTGAGATGAACGGTGAATACCAATTATTTTTTGGACAAGAAAAATATGTTGGGCTTTAAATGATGTGGAAATTACATACAATTAGAATTTTAGAGATCACAGTTCAAAAACCAGATTTAAAGTTTTTTTATACAAAAATCAAATCTTATAAAATTAATTAATCTATTCTACACAATTTCAGTCATAAACCCTAATTATATATATCCCTTATTTCTCTCTCTAAATCTCTTACCTCTCTTTTGTCTCCTCTCTCACCCTATCTATCCTTTCATCAGGTCCCTTCCGGAGAAATCAAAATCAGAAAATGGAGGCTGAGTTAGGGCAATGCGTGCAGTTCTCTCCACACCAATCTCATTCTCTCATTTTTCTCTCTATTTGCTGCCCGACACTTCTCGACACTACTGCGAACTCGTGGCCATGCCTAGTTGCTGCGAAGTGGTTATAGCGTCGCGGTTGAGATGTGATGGTAGTGGTGGTGTTTAGGTTGAAGTGGCTTTGCTGGATCCAACAGTGGTGGAGGTATGTTGGATACGGTGGTGGTTGTAGTTTTGTTGGTGTAGGTGGCGGTGGTGGTGTTGGTGTTGGCTGTGGTCCACCCGCCTGGCCGGGATCTGCAGCTCCACGATTTGATGTGATTTTTGGGTGTGTTTTCGCTTTTTTTCCTGTGTGTGAATTAAGGTTTGATTTTTTATTTTTGTTATTTTTATTACTTTTTTTAACTATTCTCACATCTCTAGTTTAGGCAAAAATTCACCAATTGCAATTCAACATAACAATAAAAAATGATTATCCATTAAATTTGATTGCTTCGATCTCTAGGACTTAATTAGGCTAACAATCTCTTTTCAAAAGTTAAATTTTCTTAAACAAGTGAAACTTAACCAAGGCATTTGGTGCGTCTTTTGTTTCATGTACTTATTTTTTCTGAATTTTTTTTCATATGAGTAATTTTTTTTTTATTTGGAGCATTCTCTTCCTAAAGATTTCTAAATAACTCGTGTAACAAACTTTCAACCGATGACTCCCAATTTAGATGACCATAGGGCACTACGTTTTAAAGACTTTTGTATGCTTAAAATATTACAAAGAAATGTTACAAAGAAAATTTTCAAATAAAATATTTTTTATGTCTTGATTAGTGCGATGCCTCCCTCATTTAACATCAATTCAAGTAAAACGATCTCTAACTTGAGATTTTTACAAAATTGCATCATATTGACTTTAGACAATCCAGCAAGATTTTTAATTTCATAAATAGAATCTCTATTTATCTCAACATTTTTTTACAACGGTGAAATCCTCCCAAACTATTCTAGCCCACGAACGTTAAATTTAATGGTTCTAGTTTTAACTTCTATAGCACGCTATTTCAACATATCCCATTATGAAACCAACTTATTCTTATACAATACTTAACTTAATTCATATATTCAATATATATCAAATTTCATATGAAAAAGCAAAAAATAATTTAAGCATGCAACTTATTCACCATTCATAAATCAATTCATAATTCAATATATTCGTCATTGACATGCAGGCCAACTAACTCACACAAGCACACAAAAAGAAAATATTTTTATTATATTTTTTTACTTTTTAAATTTTTTTTTATCAAAAAAATAGAAGCACACAAAAATACATAAAAAAATAAAATAAAATGAAAACTCATGTTTTCCATCCTCAAACTTAAACTAGAAATTTTCATCAATGTTTTTAATCTTAAATTCGCATATAAAGGAGTGGGGAAAAAGTGAAGAAAAGACTCCCCTGATATTACATGTAATTGAATAGCTAGTGTTGACCCCAAAAAATGTTGTCAACAGATGCCGGGCCCACTCGTGCACACGCAAGCTTAATCCAACACGCTAATGCCGATCGACGGTCATGATGGCTCCAAGTAATGGGCGTGAGAGTG